ATTTCCTAAACCCTTATATGGGTTTATGAGCATTTCCTAAACCCTTATAATGGGTTTATGAGAATTTCCTAAACCCTTATATGGGTTTATGAGCATTTCCTAAACCCTTATAATGGGTTTATGAGAATTTCCTAAACCCTTATATGGGTTTATGAGCATTTCCTAAACCCTTATAATGGGTTTATGAACGTTTCCTAAACCCTTTGCTCAATCCCATCCGTACTTGGTGACCGTCATAAACCATTTTGAGGGTTTATGTAAGGGTTTATTGATTTCCTAAACCCCTTCCTATACCCTTACTAAGGGTATATCGAAGGGTTTATGATTTTCCTAAACCCTTAAAAGGGTTGTTGAAAGTGTAACGTATAATAAACCCTTAAAGGGTTTATGAACTTCCTAAACCCTTTCCTAAACCCTTTGAAAGGGTATATGAAAGGGTTTAGGAATTTCCTAAACCCTTTAATAAACCCTTTTTAAGGGTTTAGGAAAATTTTCCATACGGTAAAAAGGGTTTATTATACGTTACACTTTCATCAACCCTTTTTGGGTTTATTATTCTACGAATTTTTTTTACAGTGTACGACTTGCGCGCAACACATTTTCTCAGTCGATATACATCTCTAGGGTATTTCTTTCTTTCTTTTCTATATTCTACTGTCATACAGATGACGTGTACGACGTATATTTATATCTTTTTTCTTTTCTTTCCATCACTTGGATATTTCTCTCCTCTTGATATAGGTTGGGTATTTTTGAGGGTGAGGGTGTGAGAGTGTGAAAAATATTATGTTTTGTGGTAATTGTTCTCACTCTTCATAGAGTTAAGTCCGTTATATTGTAATGGATTTTCAGTGCTTTGTGTTGATTCTTAGTGAGTCTTTTATACAAGTACTTGCCACTTGATAATCAAAATATCTAAAATTGTGAAAAATATTATGTTTTGTGGTAATTGTTCTCACCCTCAAGATAGATTATGGTAGCTTGTCTCACCTCTGTGAATTGATATTATCATTGTATATTATTATTTATACAATAGTATAATTTGAGCTTATGATTTATTTTAAATCATAAAGATTATTTACCGTCTGATGATCTGCATTTGCTGCAGTGAAATCTATTGATTATGGTAGCTGGCCTCACCACTGCTGCTCGATATTATCATTATATATTCGTTTTTGGATATATAACAGATATAGTTTGGTCTTGTGATTATATTATTTAATCAATAAGACTCATTTGCCATCTGAAGATTCCTTTAGTCAGGATGAAATCTATAGATTATGGTAGCTGGCCTCACCCTCACCCCACTCTCAAGATAGTGATGGAGAAACTGATTGTTTTGGAACAAAAGAACGAAGTTCTTTCCGCACGAATATAAGTGTTGATGAACCACTCCGTCGATCAGTACAAAGGTGCTTTTGCTGCACCCAATAAAGCGTCGAAGCAAAATACTTTAAGATCATCCTTCTAATCAGTTCCTGAACCAATATGGGTGTGAATGTGTATCTTGATGTCTTTCCTCTACTTCACATCCACACCCTCAAGATAGCCTGTATCTTTGGTGTCCGTAGTACATTTGCTCTCCCCTCAAACATCAACACATCGCAACAGTCCTGTTCCCCGCTGTTACTCAAAGATCATATGTCCAACAGTCTAAAAGATTCCTTGTTATTCAGATTACTAATGCCATTATATTTATTCCTATTAAACGATAGCGATGATGTGACTACAGGTTTCAACTAAAAACATTGGAAGACCATATTTTTTGCCACCTAAAGGTCAAAGAAAATCAGAATACGATAGATGTAATTGATCGGAAGAAGTTGCAACATGTGTTGTTAAAATTATTTTTCAACTGAAAATATATTTTGTGTAGGACTTCTTTTTTGAGCATTCTCGAAATTAAGTATTTCAAACTGATTATATTGTTGGCCATAAGTTAACTGATAATCTCTTAAGGGAAACTACGTTGTAGGTTATGAGAGTTTTCAGTTGAGGCGGTGTGAGAGTGTGCTTATTCTTGTCTCACTTAACATTGTCAATTTTCGTATGAAACCTCATAAACTCAAAGACGCCACTCCTGAAACAAAGGATATCTTAAGCAATGACCTCATCAATAATCCACAGGAACAAGGTATTGCAATTGTATCAATGGCATGACTTAATAATCGTTTTTATGTTCGACTTTGTGTTACTAATAATCGTAGTACATTGACCAATTTTGATTTCCCCGTCAAAGCTGTTATTAACTTGTGTCTATCGCGAATTACTTTAATAAATAAATAAGTTTCCGAACATTTTACAGACGAAATAATTCAGCAGATACCGGGACTTATCTTTTTGGGATTTTTAAATAAATTCCTTTGTATGTTCAGATGAATTTCACACAATTCTTTGGCATATTCATAGGTACTCACAGTACGGGTATGCCTAGATAGCGAAAAAGTTATTAAATCTGAATAGATCCTCAACAGCTAAATAAATGATTCAGAAAAAATAAATCCCAAAAAAATAAGTTCTAGCATCCACATTCCACACTCACACTCTATTTGAAGACAAATTATAACAGGTAGATTATTTTATTGTTAATTTTTTCATTAATCAGACCAAAAACTATTTGATGACAAGTTTTAATATTCATTTTCACGAGTCCATATAAATAATGCACTATATGTGCCCGTTGCGGAACTTAAAAATGTACTGAGTGCATCCGTCATATCATAGTCGAAGACAAACTTTGTACTAAATACCGACATAATTTTTTCATAAAGATCTATACCGTCAGGAGGCGTTAGTTTAAATGTAAGCGTTATACGTGTCAATTTCGGTAGTTGACTCCATATATAAATGAAATCATCCCATTGTCTGATGGACAATTGAAGGTGTTCTAAATTTGAAAAGATTTCACAAAATCGAGGTGCCTTATCTGAATCAATGAATCCATGTCTGTATGGAAACACATAGTTGGTGGTGATTGTTAGTTTTTTAATCATTTGATTTAAATAAACACGAATCATTGTTGTCAAAGAATGAAAGAAAAAATTCTGTTGGAATTGCTATTGCTGATAATTTTGGTGCTTGTTTTATAATTTCTAATATAATTGATGGTGAATCTAATGTATAGCCTCGTTCAATGCCGAGAAAATTCAAATTAGATAAATTAACACTTGTTTTGATAGATTCTAAATCTTCTATATTAAATTTAGAATAAGCTAATGTTAATAATCTAACATTTGGAAAATATTTATCAGAAAGCTTTTTAACTGCTTCTATAAATAGTTTTAAATGTGTCACTTTTTTGAATAAGTTTGTATAGGTTATCACTGGATTAGGAGCTATATTTGTATCTAATGTTAACTTAAATTCATTTGAACTGTAAGGAGTTGTTGCAATAACTGCATATTTCTCATTTGATTCATAAATAGTATACCACTGATGTTGTTTAAGCCAGAAATCGTTTTGAAATTTGAGATTGTTGATGTACTGGAATTTTCCTAGAAGACATTTGAATTATTCCTTTTAGATTATATAATATTATATGTTGGATATTTCCCTTATTTTTGTGTTAGTGCAAATACTATTAGGTATTTTCCAACATATACTGTTACGCTTATCTCTTGTTCCCTTTTATTTCATATATCTCATCCCAAAAACAAAACAAACTTTCAAGCTATACGAAAACAGAACCACCAATAACATGATGGCACTAGTAGCGCGAGGAACGAAAGTATTCTTTATGAAAGAAGATAACGTTTCTGCCATAACACCTCCCCCTCCCATCGGCAGAACAAGAAATATACAAGAGATAATAAAACAATAAAGAATAATAAGACAAAAAAAAAACGAAATTAATAAAAAAAACACGAGAGACACCAGAGGTGGGATCGGTTGGCATTTTTGCCAAACCGAACCGAC